AAAAACGAAAACCCTAAAATATATCACAGCCCCCTGTGCTCTAGAGCTCTCCCCCCCACACACTCTACTATGGAGTGTGATTTATGGTGATAGAGTTTTCCATTTAACTTTTGAACTGAAAGTATAGCCTCCGCTTTAGTTTGTGATCACTGTGGTACAGACAGCCTGATCTTCAACCTTCCAAATTCTCTCTTCACTGGCACAGCTAGGTTTAGGGTTTATTAATCTTGCTATGACCTTTTCAAAACTCTAGTAAACTCCGAGCGCGGGAGGTAGCCAGGAAACTACTCTCACATATCTCCCTCAGGACTCTGCAATGTGGGATCACTTTTGATGCAACTCTAGCCAGAAACCCTCTGCCCTTGCCTTAATCTCATAGAAGTTAATATTTTAGGAATCTTTGTTTCATTAAATAATGAGGAATTGCTTGTCCAAGACACCATTCCATAGCTCATTTGTGCCTACACTGGGTTATGTTCCTGGAAGAACCCAGAGAATTAAAATGACCTGGATTGTTCCTAGTCCCTTCCTTCCTCACCATAACTATTTCCTCAGGCAATCTCTGAATATTCCCTGTTGCTATTTACCTCTCCCAATTATCTTTGACCTAGCCACTCCAAGTTCCCATCTTTACCCTTTCTTACCAGAGCAGCTGAATGGTACCCTCTTTTTTTCTGAATTTACATACTTTTTATACCTTGCTCAGGATACCAATAACAGGATATCTTTCCAGAAAGCAGCTGAAGAAGTTGTATGTAATTCTATTTAGACTGATTGTCTGTCTGCTGTGTGAAAATGCTTTGTACATCAAAAGTATCTAGTCAGCATAAGATATAAGCTATACCATAATAATAGTGGGGCAGTCAACCCACCAATAGAATATAGACTAAAGTAGATGTTAACTTGATGTTGGGGACCTTAAAAGTCTATATGAGACATAAGAAAACCAAGTGTCATGGAGAGGTTTGTGATGGTCACCAGCATGTGGTGTGTGTGTTGCTGTGTGGATGCATGCAGTCTAGTATGTTTAGATGAGATGATCATGGAAGCTAGAGGAGAAGCATTTGGCTAAGGCCCAGGCTACAGGAGTTGTGAAGGCCAAAAATGGAGAATTAGATCTTCAGTAGGGGATTAGAGAACTGGTGGTGGTCTTCATGAAATACAACTAATATGATGGTGGTGAGTAAGGAGACTATTGGAAAAATGGACACTTCTAAGAATTGTGAAAGCAATAAAGTAATATTGGTCTGATTAATTGCTATGGAAAAGTGGTCACAACATGATTGAAGGAAGAGTAGGTTATGACATTAGCATGCAAGCTCTGAATTATCACTTTAACCGCAAGGGTTTCAGTCAGTGTCAACAAGTTAAAAGAAATATAAATTTTATGATAAGTCAAAAAGTATTGCTACAGGGGCATGAGTCCATACATGTGTAGATTTATTCCAAACAAAGCATTTAAAACAAGTATATGAGATTGGTGGATTTCTGCAGACAAGTTCTCCCAGCAATACCCTTACCTTGGTCTCTTTAGTGTGGCTTCTAAAGAAAGATCCAATCACAGTAGCGGCTTCTGAGGGGATCTGCTGGGCCAGTGAAATTCAAGGCAGGGAGGTCAGATCAGAAGTGTATGGTGGCTCTTTTGGGAAATTCCTAAGGAGGTAGTACTCTTGACAGCTTTTTCTCAAAGGACAAAGAATGATCTTGGGATCTCATTATGAAAAAGTTTTAATAAATTGAAAACTGCATTCATTTTTTAAAAATCACCAGTGTACCACCTCATTCTTTTTTTTTTGGAGGAAAATAATGTTGTATTTGGCAGATCCCTCAAAGAGGGGTGCAAAGCAGACCGAGACACCATCAGAGCTGCGTCAGACCGACTCCGACAAGCCCTGTAGGAGTTCTTTTGATACAGAGTTCGTAGTGCTTTGGCTCTTACCACAGATGAGATCAACTCGGACAGTAACTTCTGCAAGACCATCGTCAGAGGCCTGTGATAAAGACCATCAGGAGGGGCCTCTGGGGACCCATCAGGCCAGAATTGGGGAGGCAAAGGAGATAGCTTTCTCCTGTTTGCATCTCTTGTTCCAGAGGGGGACTTTCTTATGTCTATCCTACCTTGGTGTTCCTCCATCACCTCACTAGTCCTTGTCTACCTTCCTGTCTGCTCAATGTGCATGTTCTCCTGCCTTCCTTCCTTCCTTCCTTCCTTCCTTCCTTCCTTCCTTCTCTCTCTCTCTCTCTTTCTTTCTTTCTTTCTTTTTTTTATTGGGGGCTCATGCAACTCTTATCACAACCCGTACATACATCACCTCCTCATTCTTTGCATGTACCCAGTTATCCTATGAGATTTTCACTGGGCACTCTTACCCTGATCCAAATATCAAACACATTTAAAAGGCACATGATTTGGATCCATCAAGGATCGCAAAACTGTAAGTGGAAGAGTAGAGGAGCCCTGGTCATGTAGCGGATACATGTTGGGCTGCGGACCACAAGTTTGGCGCTTTGAAACCACCAGCTGCTTCATGGGAGAAAGATGATGCTTTTTCCTCCTGTAAAGAATTACCGTCTCTGATATCCACAGGGGCACTTCCACCCTGTCTTCTAGGGTCATTGTGAGTCAGAATCAACTTGATGGCAATACGTTTTTGAGTTTTGAAGCGGAAGAGTGCTGACTTCTTCCTGGAAGGGCTGGCGAGATGGAAACATCACTTTTAAGAAGTGAATGAACCCAGATGGAAGACGTTTTAGACATCGATGGAAGATGCTTCAAGAAATAGTAGCTTCTTTTTGTTTGTACTTCATGAAAGAAGTACAGGCAGCATACTCCTTAGAAGCAAGGATGACAAGACTTTATCTCATGTATTTTAGACATGTTGTCAGGAAAGACCAATTCCTGCAGGAATCACGATTGGTCAAAGAAGAGTCCTCAAAAAGAGAAAGTCCCTTCATTAAATGGACTGACACAGTGGCTGTCACAGTGGTCGCAAACATACCATTATGATGACGGTCACAGAAGCAGGCAGTGTTTTGTTCTGTTGTACAGAGTGTTGCTTCCAAAATTTGGGAAAAGTTGGTATTAAAGGATAATGGAATTTCCCCCACGGAATTTTAAAGCGTCTTTGTAGTCATGGATACACTTGCAGCAGATAAATACATATATAGAAAAGTGGTCAGTGTCTTAGTAGGGATTCTGTGACTTGCTCGTCAATGTTCCTCAGTATCTCTACTGGGTTTTTCTCAAAATGGTCAAAGAGCTGTGCTTCGTATTTCTGCTCATACGCTGGTTTTGTTCAGTTTATTTTTCCACTCCCGGTTCAGTGTGACTCTTTGTTCTTCCACTTGAGACTAAGGACTCCAGGGGGGTCATCGAGTCTCGCACGTCTTGTTGGAGAGGGGCCTGGCGCAGCCAGCTACTCTGCCATCTCGACTCCTCCACCTGCGCTTGATTTTAGTTTTTTCGAAAGACATACTTACGTGATTCTCTCAGGGAGGGTGCCTGGTTAATGTCTTGACTAAAATGTCTTTATTTTGCTCTCATTCCTAAACCATCATTTAACTTCTTATAGATACATAATTTGACAATCCTGTTCCTTCAGCATGCTCAAGATAGAATTTCACTATCTTCTACTACTTATTGTTCCTATGAAGCTATCTGCTGTCAGTCAACTTTTCCTTCCTTTGTAAGTAATGTGTTGTGCTGTCTGGACTTTGTTCACTTGTGTAACTATGTAGAGTACTTGTCTGATTGCCCTCCCTAGGACTGTTCTTTAAGAACTAATGTCTTTCTTGAATCGTCCTGGAAATAGTCATTCCTTATTGTATCTTGTAGCTTATTCATTTTATTTTCTCCTCTGGAATATCTAATAATCATGTATTTGAACATTTCCCACACCTGTTTTTGGGTTGATATGATTCTTAACATTTTATATTTTCACATCTTTTTCTTTTGCTCTAGGCTGTGTAGTTTCCTCATCTCTCTTCCAGTTAGTTCATTCTATTCAGAGATGAGCATTTTTAAGTTTCTCTTTTATTTCTTTCTAATTTGCATATTTTATACACTCTTGTTCTTATCCATGTAATTTCTATTTCTTTAATTTTTTTCAAAAATAACTCGGGACACATGCATTTAAAGGCGATTTCCATTCTGCTGTTCCTGGTTTTTCAGATGTGAATTCTCCCATTCATCCACTGATCACGATTGGTCCAGTTGTGAGGATTGCTGTCTTCTTTACATTGAGTTGTAATCTATACTGAAGCTGCAGTCCTTAATTTTCATCAGCAAATGCTGCAACTCCTTCTCATTTTCAGCAAACAAAATTTTAAGGTAGTTTTCCATAACGATATTAGGTTCCAAGATTGTAGAAATTGTCTAGAGGACAGTTTTACATTTTCGTGTGTGTGTGTGTGTGTGTGTGTGTGTGTGTGTGTGTGTTTGAAAGCTCTGAACAGACTTTATGTTCAATTGTTGAGTTATGGATTCCGAAATATATTGATAATTATTTTGGGTCCCACACTAAAATGTCTTGCAGAGTTGGGGATTTTCTTTCTCAGGGGTGTTCTCTCTACTGAACGTATGCGTTCCACAGCCTCCATGCAGGCTCGCTATCACTCTCCATGGTCAGTCGGGGTGAGCAGGGGACCTAGCGTTTGTGTCATACAGTGCGCTAGACGACTCCTCGGTATACAAAGTGAGCAGAGTGTCAGCTGTCTGCATGCACACATCTTGACCTGGGTTCAGAACCCTGCCCGAGGTCTGCCTCCGTCTGATCCACTAGAGCATGAGCGATTCAGCGTCAGTGCCTAGCCTTAACTTGCCCTTTACCTTCTTCATTTCCTCAAAACTTGGTTGTATAATATATTTCTGTTTGCATTTTATTCAGCATCTCTCTTTGATCGGGAAGCATGGGACAAAAGACATTTTTCTCTCTGCACTGTACTTATTCGAAAGTTGATTATATCTGTATTGAAAACTGTTTTTGTTTTTCCTTTTGCAGCTAGTCATGTCTCAAATCCCATTTGCAAGGGTTGCTTGTCTTGTTCAAAGGACAACGGGTGCAGTCGATGTCAGCAGAAGCTGTTCTTCTTCCTTCGAAGAGAAGGGATGCGCCAGTACGGAGAGTGCCTGCACTCCTGCCCACCGGGCTACTACGGCCTCCGAGCCCCGGAGATGAACAGATGCGCAAGTGAGCCCTTGACTTCCGTCCGTCCCATTTGATTGCTTATAAAACTTAGGGAAGAACTGAGATGGAAATGGTGGTAGACACCCCCTCCCCCAGTACAGTCTAATCTCAAACTTCCAAAAGAAGTGGGATAAGAGAAATTCTATTACGTTTTTAGGCATATGAATATATCATACATAGATCTTTTAGAGATCACCAGAATATTTATTTTTCATAACAAGGATCTCAAGTCTAACAGAAATAAGAGAGGTGAATAAGAGTAAAGTAGAAAGTAGAGGAAGGCTATTGCAGGAGTCAGAGATCAGAAATCGTATCTGATCAAAGTTTGTGAGGGATAAGATCTAGAGACTTTAGAAACGGAATCACTGGAAGGTGGTAACTAATTGTACAGGAGGAACTGAAGAGGGATTTGAGACCCTGTTGACCCTGTGTCCATTTCACTGTAGCTCTTCAGTGTGCGAGGAAAATGACATGAGAATTTAAGGAGACGAGTCGAGACATGTATTTCGTGCTCCCATCCCAACATTGCACATATCGCGTACGGTGCTATGCTGGCCTTCTGATGTACTGCGTAACCTGGGACACGGGGGAGCGAGAGAAGCTGCATACGTTGGGACTTGTATGGGCAATCTGGCATGAATGGACACTTCGGCTGTACCTTAAAGTTTTTTGATAAAATGTTCCTAAGGGAGACAGAATTTCAATCATGAGTTAACAGGCACATTTTGGCTGAATTCAATCTCTCCTCTCAGAAATGAAGAGCCAAGCAGTAACTGTAAGTCAGCCTTTTAAAGAGAATCTACATGTGACTGGGCTTCTACTCATTATCTACTGGGGTTATACTTATTGTAAGTGAATGCACTCAATGTCGCAGTTTACTGACCTCGAGAAAATCATTATTTAATCTGGTGTAAGCGGGAAACACTTACTAGGAAGGCTTCTGTGGCGCAAGAGGAAGAGGAAAACGATTTCTTAACTCTCCATACATGAACTTGGGTTACCTTGATTCGTTCAGGCTTCCTGTTTGTACTTTTTCTTAGATATTGTATACATATTGAACATGTATTAGTTTTTATACATAGTCCATTCAGAGCAGGAGGCATTTAAGTTGGAAAAACCATTTCAGGCTTAGAGTTTGAAATCACAGTCACTTTTGTTTAAGATATTCTTGTTCAACAGTGGAGACAAACACCTCTACGTCAAGCCTTAGGTGAAAGGGGCTCATCTCCTCTCTGATCTCTCAAGTGAGGTTGTAATTGCGAAACAGAACCTTTCTTCTGAAGGAAAGCTTTCTCTAGGAAATGAGGTCAAGTTCTTCTTCTACGACTGAGTTCAACTTCTGCGTAAAAATAGTATGAAATTCATTCTGACATTTAAACGTGCTATGGAAGCCCTGGGGGCCTAGCAAGGTCAGCAGTTCGAAACCGCCAGCTACTCTGAGCAAGAAAGGTGAGGTTGTCGATTCCTGTTTACAGAGTTAAGTGTCAGAAACCCACAGGGGCAGTTCTAGCCTGCCCTGTGAGGCAAGTATGGGTCAAAATTGACTCAATGGCAATGAGTTTTATTTACTTTTTTTACTAAAAATAAATTCTGTAACTATTTGAGGCATGCAGTGAGGCAGAACATAAGAGTAGTCATTATGCTGATATGATAGTAAATGATATTTATCTTTTATTTTCTCTGATTTGTTAAACTCATTTGTGGGATAAAGATGTATGATTTTAATTGTTATGCATATTGGTTGCTAGTCACGTAGAAAGAGCATGGACATAAAAGGGTGTGTGTATGGGGGATGGTGGGGAAGAGCAATAGAACATGCGGAAAATCAACAGAAGTTACTTCAGTATCACAAAAGTTAACATTTTAATTCCTGTTTGTGCCTGTTTCTTTGCATATTTATCTCTCACCTTCACTTAACAAATGTGATATTGTTCCATTGTATAACTTTTAAAAAAATTATTTTATTGTGGGCTCGTACAATTCTCATCACAATCATGCATACATCCATTGTGTCAAGCACATATGCACATTTGTTGCCCTCATCATTCTCAAAACGTTTGCCTCCCACTCTAGCCCCTAATATCAGTTGCTCATTTCCCCCCTCCCTCCGCCCTCCCCACTCCCTCATGAACCCTCAATAGTTCATAAATTATTATAGTTTTGTCATAAGTTACCCTGTCCGATGTATAACTTGTTTTAATTTAATGAATTGAGAACATTCTTCATGTTGTTAACTTTGGCTGCATATATTCTACTGAATGTATGTACCATGATCTGTTTAGCTAACTGTCGAAATTTCACTTTTAGTAGTAGTGGTCGCATGAAGACCATCTGTATAGAACACTCTCCTTCTGTCTCATAAGCACACGCACATTTTTATCCCTTGGTCTAGTTTTCTTAAGGCAAACTTTTAAACATTAACACACATTAAAAATTTTTTTGATATATATTGCCTTCCAGAAAAAAAATCGTACCAGTACATATTTACTAATAACAGACATTTTCCCTTGAATCTCACCAATACTGGATATTGTTGAAAAAAAATATTGAAAAAATTTTGTATGCTTATTTATTTTTTAAGTTTTTTGTTTAGCACTCCATCCACATATCATATAATCCAATAGTTTCATCATATCAGGGAGATTGCACAATTGTTACCACAATCAGCTCTAGGACATTTTTTTCTTCCTTGTACTCATTATAATTTGTGTCATATGCTTCTTTTCTTTTCTTTTTTTATTTGTAAGAGAAAGCTCTATATCAAGAAGTAATTATATATCAAGCAAACATCCCAGTCCAATCCATAAGTCCGATACTAGTCCATAAATCAGTCTTCCAACTCATGCAGCCACATGCAATGATGCAGAATGCAGGAAGATCACAGGTCGGTGGGTGCAAAGTCATGTGGATCCAATGGTGGTAGCCACTTCACAGGGCTCTGGTTGCCATCAATGTGACTCAAAATGGCTCATCAACAAAAAGGTGAAGCAGAGAGTGGCAGGGGGAAGTTCCCAGAATCCTCCTTTATGAGAAGACCATGCCCACAAAGAGGTACCATCAGGCCGTGACTGGATTGACAGGCTACACGCCACCCCTTCACTGTATCAAGTTGACACGAGATGATGTAACTACCACAGACTATTTCCGATACCGTGCCGGAAAATGAGCCCTTCATGTTGGAAGACATTCCATAATTTTCCCATTACTATCGAGTTGAGCCTTACTCACAGCGACCCTGTAGCTCAGAGAAGAGGCACTTCCACAGGGCTTCCAAGGTTCTAATCTCTAAAAGCTTCATTGAAACTCAGGACCTTGAAGTGTAAAACATGGATTAGGAGTACCTACTCACAAGGACCTGGGGTGGCATAATAATTGCTTGCCCAGCTGCTAACTGAAAAGTCAGTGGCGTGAGCCCACCCAGGAGCTCTGTGAGCAAGGACATGGCCATCTGCCCCTGTCAGGTATTAGCCCCATGGGTTCCATGCAACACCTCCTGTGATTTCTCAGTCGTCTGCTTATTTTCGTGGATTCAAACCCTCACCTTAACTCAATGCACCACTAGGGTTCCTCCAATACCACTAGCAGGTCTTTGGAGATGAAAGGGTGGGAATATTTTGGGAGACAGTTTGGAGTACTTTGTAAAGTTTAAAAGTTTAGTAACCATGTCTTCCTTTTTAATTAATAGGCAAGGGGGATCTGTTGTTAGAGAAATTTAGTGTAGCGAAGATTTTGACAGCATTTATGCACTGGGTGTTCATGAAGCTCATAGGTTTCCGCTCACCTGCTCTTAGGGGTAGGTGAGTTTTAAGATTTCTTTTGTTGGGAGCTCTTATAACAATCCATTCATCAATTTGTATCAAGCACATTTGTACATCTGTTGCCATCATCATTTCTTTCTGTTTTTTAATCATTTTATTGGGGGCTCATACAACTCATCACAATCCAT